TTATTACTGTTACTGCCCTCTTTAGAGGTGTAAATGGCCTTAGATGCTAAAGCACCGCTTTAAAATAAAATTATTTTACTACTACTACTTTTCTTTTTTCTCTTCTTCTTTTTTCCTTTTTTCCCTTTTTTTCTTTTTTTCTTTTTTTTCTTTTTTTTCTTTTTTTCTTTTTTTCTTTTTTCTCTTTTTTTTCTTTTTTTTCTTTTTTTTTCTTTTTTTCTTTTTTTCTTCTTTTTTTTCTTTTTTTTCTTTTTTTTTCTTTTTTTCTTTTTTTTTTCTTTTTTTTCTTTTTTTTCTTTTTTTCTTTTTTTTCTTTTTTTTCTTTTTTTTCTTTTTTTTCTTTTTTTTCTTTTTTTTCTTTTTTTTCTTTTTTTTCTTTTTTTTCTTTTTTTTCTTTTTTTTCTTTTTTTTTCTTTTTTTTCTTTTTATTCTCTTCTTCTTTTTTCCTTTTTTTCTTTTCTTTCTTTTTTTTCTTTTCTTCTTTCCTTCATTCTCTTCATTACCATTCTAGCAGCCGGAAGAGGGGCGCATCTGCCAATGACAGATTCACCTTATGGTCAGTCCGACCCTGCACAGAAAAAAATGGATGGTGCTGACGACAGAACCTTTTGTTCATACGGCTCCCACAGTTTCTTTGTTACACTTACAGAACTTTTCTGTTGTGAGAACAGAACTTCTGTCGTGGGAACAGAGTACTCTGTTCCCACGACAGAAGTTCTGTTCTCACAACAGAAAAGTTCTGTAAGTGTAACAAAGAAACTGTGGGAGCCGTATGAACAAAAGGTTCTGTCGCCAGCACCATCCATTTTTTTCTGTGTGCCAGGAAGAGACAAAGACAATCATTTCTTGCGACAGGGAGCCCTAGGAACTTTGGGATCTTGCCCAATGGATTTCACACCCCGACTTCTTTGGTGGCATTTTTCGATAGAAAAATCGCGATATTTTGAAATCAAGTTTCAATTTTGTCACGATTGTTCGGCGATAAATCGCTAAGATTATCAACATCTGAGCGACTATTCTCATTTTTGTCGCAATTTTATCTCTATACGCGGCCGCAACCTCTGAAAAAAACTACACGTTAACAATATTGTAGAACAACCATGTTCAAGTTATGTCATAGATGAATGGATTCAAAAGCTGACGAATGTATACCCGAATTTATCTTTGATCGCTACGTTATGCATCACTTTTTATGTCTTATTTTTGAACACCGTTTTTCAAAAGCTACAAACAGTTTTCAAGAAAGTTTCCGAGAAATTTACGGAATGATTTAAAATAAAATCACACAAAATTTCGACGCGGTATTTCCGTTCGCTCTGTTTTCACTTTATTATAAACCAAAATTAATTTAATGCGATTCAAGTTTCAGAATCGCTGCATCGTTTAAACATCGTCTGAGTTTTTGAATCGTTGCACTTGAGATACATATTTACACTGGAAAAAAAAAAAACACATTGGATCTAGAGTCCAGACTTTTAAAAACATCGTCAAGAAAAATACTCTTGATTCAATCGGATTTTTTCTTAAATCAAGAACCAAGCCTCTTAATTTGAGCGGATTTCCTTTTGATTGAAGCTTAAATCTGATTGAATCAAGAGTATTTTTTCTTGTCAATGTTTTCAAGAGTCTGTACTCTAGATCCAATGTGTTTTTTTTTTTTTTTTCCAGTGTACCCTTTAATTGGGGTAAAAACCGGACAGGGACCGTCAAAAGAAATTTCGCGCGGACCGAATTTTGCAGTGATTTTAGCGACGCGCAAGCCAGGGAAGGGAGCGCGGACGAATGTCGAGTCAGATCTTCACAGTGTGATGCGCCTTCAATCCAGCTAGCAGTCGTGTGCCTCTACCCGTACCGTAGTCGAATATTTAGCGCAAACTCTCGCATCCCAAGTAGTACAGTGCAACGAAAATATTGAAATTAAACTGCAATTTGATTTCAATAAAATTGTAATTTTTTAACATTAAATTGCAATATTTTTACATCATATTTAGTCGATTTAGGTATGCCGATTTCAAACAATCAGCGAAATGAGCTCCATGTGTCAGAAAGTTAAGCAATATGCAATGCAATGAAAAATAGCATCTTATTTCAATTTAATTGTAATAAGTTTCAATAAATGGTGCCCCTTCAAATAGGAGCTAGGCAACATACACAACACTCAGTGGAATTGCAATATTTTTAGCACGTAATTTGGTGCTTATTGCAATCTGTGCTACTTGGGATTGCGTTTGGTGCAGTGCGAGAAGTATTCATGCGGTCTTGTAGGCGCTGACGCCGACCGCACTGTTTGGCGCAATGCATAAAGTATTCCTGCAGTCTTGCAGGCGCTGATATGAGTTCGACGCCGACCGCACCGTGTTTGGCCTTCGGCGTGATTATTCGAACTCGCGTTGGGATAATCGCGGCATCGAACAAGGGGCTTTAAAGACCCATTTTGTGTTTCGACGCCGTATGAGCACTCCAACGTTGCCTCGTTTCTCCCGATAAAATATTTCCTCTCAGAAAAGTTATCACCGAAAAAAAATAATATGCTGTTTTAGCATCTAGGATGTCAAAAATGTGTCTGGTGATCCCAAGATGCTGCCTTTACTGCCCCCGCGGTCAATTTTACATCCTGTGAATGCAAATTCAACTGCGGGGGCAGTAAAGGCAGCATCTTGGGATCACCGGACACATTTTTGACATCCTAGATGCTAAAACAGCATGTTATTTTTTTCGGTGTATAGGAAAGTTCTGTATGTTCGCTTTTTTAGATTGAATGGACCATTAAACAAAGTACGAATTTAAGCACTCTGTTACATGATTCTTCACCAGAATTTCACGCAGAACACGATTCGTGCAACGAAAACTACTGAAATCAACTTCCAGCTAAGATATTAACGTTTTTATTGCCCATCAGTTACGGGAACTTTGAATTACCCCGTCATAAGAAAAACAAAACCATACGTGAGTCAAATCGCGCACCATAATGGCTTTAGCAGACTACTTAATCGAGCATTGTTTCTTCCCCACACTGTGTCGTCCAAAGTGTGTACAGATTGAGCTGAGCGTCAAGATTGAGCTTGCCATATTTTCATTTCACTGAGACTGTCATAGAGAATTTTGACGTCAATTTAACCCAAGCATATTATTCTTTCTGCCATGAATGGAAAGGTTGAATTTATTCATGAAAAACGTTATTACCACGGTTAGGAGCAGTGGCGTGGCGTGAATGATCGATTATCGATATCTCGCCATTTGAAGCTATGGTAAAGAATCGATTACTAAGGTGTTCGCTGCGAACACCCTAATAATCGATCTTTTTTCATAGGTTTAAGTGGCGTATCAATCGATATATCGCAAAGCACGCCACGCCACTGGTTAGGAGTTGATCTAGGCTTAGGATTTCGATCCTTCGAGCTCGACGTCGAGAGATCGATATATCCTCGTCGCCTATTGGTGTTCACACCGCGAGCCTGCAATCCTAGGATCGAATCAATGAGAGAGGTCAGACATGAAATGTTTGACTGAAACTGGAAATTTTGATGTTTTTTTCGTCACATTTTAAAATTTTAGGGGGTGTTTCTGAACAAAAATTTCATGAAAAAACCAAAGAAGCCATTCTTAAACTCCCTTGCTTCATATTTTCGATAACATAAGCTTTCAAAGCTGTCACATTTTGTCCGACTTTTCCTATTAACTCGGTCCAGTGTGCATCGGATCGGATTTTCACAAAGTTACGGTGCCCAGGGGACCGATTATTGAAATTGATAGACAAAGCCATAGACAAAGAAGACAAAACAGATATGAAGGGATCCTATTATTTGAAATAGATGGTTCCCATTGACCAAGGGAGAAAATTATGGACTAACTACAGGTTCCTTCATGGGTTGGTGTTAGTTAGTCCATTCCCTACCTCCTTTGTCCATTGCAGCTTGCAGCCACCAGCTTTCACCAATAGGATCCCTTCAAATCCCTTTTGTCTTCTTTGTCTATAGCTTTGTCTATCAATTTCAATAATCGGCTCCCAAGGGAATATTACGAGGACAACAACCAATTCAATAAAAGTCACACCGAACTCATCGATATCACCTGTTATCGACAACGCAACTGTTTCAAGATAACTAAGAAGACTCAGAGACTTGAACGCCGAGGTAGAGAAAACATCGAATTCAATAACTAACACCCAAAACTCATAAAACTCATGCACTTCTAGGCTTAGGATTTTGATCTTTCGAGCTCCACGTCGAGAAATCAATATCCTCGTCGCCTATTGGTGTTCACACCGCGAGCCTGCAATCCTGGGATCGAATCAATTAGAGAAGTCAGACATGGAATGTTTGACTAAAACTGGAAATTTTAATGTTTTTTTCGTCACATTTTAAATTTTAAGGGGTGTTTCTGAACGAAAATTTCACGAGGAAACCAATGAAACCACTTTTAGAACCTTAAAGTTTCGTATGTACGGAGGTATGAGCGTTTAAAGTTTACAAATTTTGTCCGACCTCTCCTATTGACTCGGCCCATTGTGCGTTGTGAAGACGTAAATGAATCCAGGAAAATGCTCGAAACAGTGGCGTGGCGTGCTTTGCGATATATCGATTGATCTGCCATTTAAATCTATGGAAAAAAATCGATTATCAAGGTGTTTGCTGCGAACACTTTGATAATCGATTCTTTACTACAGCTTCAAATGGAGAAATATCGATAATAATCGATCATTCACGCCACGCCACTGCTCGAAAACCCCTATCGCTTCTCGGCTCAAGGGGCTCCGGAGAGTCTCGAGACTTGGCGCAATCGGTTCTACGCCTCAAACTACGTTGGATTCGATCCTCATCTCGAAATTTTTCTCCCGACCAAAATCGAGAAAAATCGACAGGGTCAAGAGATTGAAGGCATGTTGGGTTTTAGTAAAAGTAGGCGAAGAGAGTTTTGACGCTGAAGAATTGCTTCAAAAGGGGGTAAGAATTTATGAAAAAATACCAGAAAAAAGAATGAGGAGAAAAAAAAACCTCGGCTGAAGAATACTCGGAACATTATTTTATTGGTGAGATTGAAAGTCACACCTCCAAAACATCGATGGTTTAAGTCGAAAATACGTGTCGTGATTTAGACGTCGCAAACCCTCGCTCATGCGTTATTTTCTCTTCTTCTCTTTTCTTTCTCTCTCTTTATTTCTCTTCTTTGCAGAGCATTTTCTGTAAATTTTCTCCATTCGTTAAACAAACAATACATTCATTGAAAAATTCGACCGCGTTTAGCAGAAAGGGACCAAGCCACATCAGCTACCTAATGCCAAACTTAGCCCGGCAATTTAACTTTTTACAAGAGAACGCTTGTCCGGATTCCTTTGAAAATTCTAAGGAAATTACCGTGTACCATGCAGAAAATTCACCGAAATTTGCACAAAAATCCGCACAACTGTTTTCATGTCAAAAATTGAATTGCCGAGTTAAATGTCATAGCTAATGCTGCTGGGTTCCTCTCTGCTAAACGCGATCCAATTCAAGGACAAATTTTCGACAGTTTTCCTTTAAACCAAGAAGTAAAGAAACGAAACTTAATCCAAGATTTCGAAACGTTTCAATGGATAGACACGTATTTCCCGACTGTAACAATGGATTCAAACAAATAAGAAGTGCCTAAAAATTAACATGAAAAAAAAAACCCATTTCATCGCTCTCGGCGGGGCTTTCGACGACACGTTGCGCGGGATCGATAATATGCAAAGCATTCGAGATGGCGACAGCATTTTTTACCATTGCCGCAGTATTCGCCCAGTTTGGCACATTTGCTTAGTTCTTGTGTCACGAACGGATTTCCACTGCCGACTAGTTCCAACGGCGTTTCATTAAGATGGCCTGCAAGTGGCGCCGAGGGGGCTTCGTCTTCGAATGTCTCCTCTTGTGTTTTATCAAGACCAACATCGGATAGAAGTGGTGGTTTTGCAGTCGCAAAATGAACGAGATTGACCATGGAAACGAGGGCAAAGATCAGCTGAAACAGAAAAAAATAACAAAATTATTCCAAAAAAAGAAAAAAAATGTTGAAGTACTCCCCTGCTAAAAATGATGAGAAGGCTATTCAGAATTCGTCGACTCATATGAGTAGAATGTCCTACTTATATGAGTAGAAATCCTACTCATATCACTAGAATATTCTACTCATAAGAGTAGAAAAGTTCAACTCATGAATTCAATTTTTTTCATTTTTCAGAAGTGGTGTTTTTGACCAAGAGACACCGACACACGTTGTAAATTTGAAAAATGAGAACATTTTGTTCTTATAATTTTTTTGATGCGGTGACTAGTTTCTGAGATATCGGACACGGTAGATTCAACGCTGAACTCATGTGAGTTGAAATCTCTAGTCATATGAGTCGCAGTCGGCGAAAAGTGAATAGAGAAATTCTGCTCATATGAGTTATTCTATTCATATAATTTGAAATTCTATTCATATGAGTCGAAATTCGATTCATATGAATTGAAATTCTATTCATATGACTTTGATTTTCTACTCATTTGTACTTATCATTTTTAGCAGGGGATCAACACTGCACTGAACCCTTTTTGTGTCGCAATATACCCCAATAGCACAGATTGCAATAATCCGCAGCAATTGAATCGGTAAGAACGAAAACACACCAACTCGAAAAAATGAAAATAATCAGGACACAAACAAAACTGCTCAGTAGGTGAAGAAGTTAGTCCGAGAAAAAGATTTTTGGTGCCGAGAGACACGTACTTAGGGACGCTTGAAAGCAGTGGCGTGGCGTGAATTGCGATATATCGATTATTATGCCATTTAAACCTATGGTAAAGAATCGATTATTAAGGTGTTCGCTGCGAACAGCCTATCTATCGATTCTTTTCCGTAGATTTAAATGGCATAACAATCGATATATCGCAATTCACGCCACGCCATTGCTTGAAAGGTCCAAGTTGGAACATATGCGCCAAGTTCAATGACCTTCATGGAAGTTGACTGTCTTTAATGAAAATTGACCATTTTCGAGTTACCGAGTTGGTGTGTTTTCGTTCTCACTGATTCAATTACACTGTAAGAATATTCCAATTCCACTGGGAGTTGTGTATGTTGCCTAGCTCCTATTTGAAGGGGCTCTATTCATTGAAACTTATTGCAATAAAATTGAAATAAGTTGCAATTTTTCATTGCATTGCGTATTGCCTATCTTCCTGACACATGAAGCTCATTTTGCTTATTTTTTAAAATCGGCATAAATCGACTAAATGACGTAAAAGTATTGCACTGTAATGGTAAAAAAATTACAATTTTATAATTGCAAATTGCAATTTAATTTCAATATTTTCGTTGCACTGTGTTACTGTTCGGACACAACCAAAATTCAGAAAAATAAATGGACCGTGTAAACCGTGTTTAGCAGACAGGAACCAAGCCACATCAGGTATTGCCAAATTTAACAGGGCAATGTGAGTTTTTACAAGAGAGCTTTTTGTACAGATTCTTTGGATATTTTGAGGAGTTTGCTTCTTAATATGCAGGAAATTCACTGAAATTTGCACAAAAATGCGCTCAACCGTTGTCATGTAGAAAATTAAATTGCCCATCCGATTTTTGGCGGTAACTGATGAGGCTTGGTTCGTCTCTGCTTAACGCGGTCCAAATTAGGCTCATGAATTCTTACCGCTTATCTACGGTTGTTTCTCACAGTCTCTTAAAAATAAAAAAAATACGAAGAGAAACACCATTTATTAGAGAAACGTAGCAATTGGACTAAATTTTGCATTAACGGAACCAATATTTCTGACGTACTTTAAAAACAGCATACGTGCTATCGTACTTTCCCTGTTTAAATAGGTTCTATTATGAATGAGAAGGCAAAATTAGTTCCTTTATTGTAAAATGTGGATCCCAAAAATGTTCGTCTGTTAACGTGAGGGTTCACCAAAGATATCACGAATATTATTTTTTTCATTTCCTAGAACGTAAGGTAGGTGAGGTAGGTTTCCTAAACGGTAGGTAAGGAGGCAGAATTATCGCACAGAAGGTGTTAGAAAGCTGATTTCAGCTCGCTATAGAAATTTAACCGGTATGATAATGAATACTTAAAACTCTTTGTTTAAGCTACGGACTTTTTTTTTAAACTTTGAAAGTAAAAAAAAACCCTGATTGTAAGAGAGCAAGACAGAATTTTTACGTAAAAAAAAATGGTTTTTAGGATATTTTAGCAATTGCATTAAGTTTTCTCTCTGTAACTTAAGTACGAGCTTCTCTAACATTTTAAAACAGATGACTCTACGGGAAAATTTATTTTTGTAAACTTCGAACCGTCACAAATTGGGTTCGTCAGATTTTTCCTTGTAATTTTTGTCCAAAAATACTCGTGAAACACTGAAACTTTTGAGATTTTTGGACTAAAGGTCCTTTTACCCGTCTACGGTTACAATCGAACATGAAAAAACCATTAATAACACGGAAATAACTTACAAAAATTTTGGTGGGGCACATTTTGAAAGACCTCAGATTAACTGAAACACTTCGATACAGCTGAAGCACTTCTCTGCCGTTCGCTGGTGGGCATCGGGGCTTTTATGAAGTTAAAGCACTTGTCCATCTGTGTATTTATTTACTTTTGAGCTGTTCAGATAAGGGCACTTAAACTTAAAGACCGGAATTGATTTCCATCGAATTAACAATTAAAATCAGAATAATGACGTTATACATTTTATTTAGATCCGTGAGAATGTACTTGACTCTGAAGTGCTTTATGGATATCGCATTTACACCTACACACACGGTTATCTGTGAGCTAAAGCGTGCCAATGAAACCAATTAACCAAGTCATTGAAAATGAGGGGCTTGGCGGACAAGGCGCTTAAGTGCAGTTTTTGAAAAAGTGGAGATATTAATGATTTCGAGTAAAACTAGTCTTAATGCACATTTTGCGAAAATTTCGCTCCTAAAGTCCAATTTTTAAGCATCAAAAAGTCAGTTTGAACTTTCCCTCCGCCATAAGGATCCATGTAATTTCAAAACTTCATACACTTATTTCTCGAAGTTGCAAAAACTGCACTTATGCGCTTTGTCCTCCAAGCCCCTTCGTGACGTGAATGATCGATTATCGATTTATCGCAATTTGAAGCTATGGTAAAGAATCGATTACCAGGTGTTCGCTGCGAACACCCTAATAATCGATCTTTTTTCATAGGTTTGAGTAGCGTATCGATCGATATATCGCAAAGCACGCCACGCCACTGGCCTTAAATATGAAGTGCACAGAATTTTTAGAATGTGGGTAATGCAAGGTTGTGCAACACCTTCCCAGAGCACCCTCCCCCGCGTAGCACATCGAGGGTGAAACTATCATAGAAAATGTATCTCTGTTTGCGACGTTGTAGAAGCCCTATCATATTTTAATTTAATTTGATAAATCATGTCATCGTTTACTTTATATTTGGGAAACCATTCTGGTCAATGCTTGAAAACTTCCGTGATTTTCCTCCTCAGTGTGAAGAAAGTTCTGTGAAAACTTCAAGGAATGATATTGCTTTGTTCTCCTTCAAAAAAAAAAATAAAAATAAAAATAAATAAACAAATAAATAAAAAATAAGTGCGAAGATCTTTAAACACCTCAAACGAGATACGTGGCGGTGGCCTGGTAGTTTCACCATCGACATATTGTAATAGCATGGTAAAATTATTGCTATTTTACCGGGGTGTCGTGTTTGTTGCCTATCTATCGATTGAAGGAACTTGCTCTATGCAAAGATGAGGAGCAACAGAATCAACAGTCAAATCGCAAATTCCTCACACATGCAACATCTCTATTTATGTTGAACATCTTTCTGATTTTGCATGAGATCTGAAGAAAATCAGTGACATTTCCAGTTAGGAATGCCTGCGATTCTCCTGGTAAAGGTGCAATTTGCGAGAGGAAATTTCGCAACATTGTAATGTTGTTGCGTTTTTTCTTTTGAGGAGAACGACGAATTCGTCGCTCCTCTGAAGTCATAGAGTACATAGAGTCGTAATGTAATTGGGAGAGCTGGCGCCACCTTTAAGGATTTTCCATGTCCCGAATTCCGAAACTCCTGTGTGACGCCGGGTCACTTTTTCGATACATAATCGATTGTTTGCGATACACGGGTACCCGGCCATCCGATGACAACAGCAACAACAACAAAGGAGATAGGAATTACCACGTATTCCATACCGCCATTTTGGATCGAAAATGTATCGAAAAAGCGACCCGAACTCAGCGCACACCTCTGAAGTCATAGAGTACATAGAGTCGTAATGTAATTGGGAGAGCTGGCGCCACCTTTAAGCATTTTCCATGTCCCGAATTCCGAGACTCCTGTGTGACGCCGGGTCACTTTTTCGATACATAATCGATTGTTTGCGATACACGGGTACCCGGCCATCCGATGACAACAACAACAACAACAACAACAACAAAGGAGATAGGAATTACCACGTATTCCATACCGCCATTTTGGATCGAAAATGTATCGAAAAAGCGACCCGAACTCGGCGCACACCGGGCTCGGAATTCGTCGAGCAGAACATGGCGCCAGCTCTCCCATTTACATTACGACTCTATGTACTCTATGTCTGAAGTAAAGGCGTATCTCTGTTTCTACATGAGCCCTGGGAAGCATAGCCAGAGGTGGGTCCAGCAATTTGGCAACACTGGGTTTCCTCCATTTAAATCTATGTTAAGTAATCGATTCTTGTCGGAGCATCTGGCCGTTCCAAGAATCGATCCATTTCCATGGGTTTAAATGGGGAGAAAACAATGTTGCCAATATGCTGGATCCGCCGATGCGCATAGCGTTTTATGGAAAACAGGGCACATGTGGAAATCGAGATACGCTCTTACGTCGGAGGAGCGACGAATTGGACTACATTTTGCAATTAGGAACTATAAATTCTGGCCCGGTTTAAAAACAACGTATGTGCCATTAATTTCCCTATGCACATAAGTGTTTTTTCAGATGAGCCAGAATTTATAGGTCCAAATTGCAAAATGCAGTCCAATCGCTCCATGTTAGACTAAGCAACACGTGGTATCCCATACAAAATACAGTATTTTTGATACGGCATCCATACACTTCTTAAAACTTACATTATCTTTCAATGAAAGAATTCAAACATGGATCAAAGAGTCGGCAACGCAGCGTGTAAGCTTCGCCGATTCGGGAAAAATAATGAAATATAAGGACTACACACTGAAAAAAATCGTTGGGATATATCAAACCAATAAGTTGTGTTGAGCTATGTTGTGTTGATTGAAGTATACGAGTTGCATTAAATTGACACTACGAAGTTGGGTCAGGAGGCTTTGTGTTGGCGCAACACAATATTGTGTCATTTCAACCCAATTTTTCTTGAGTCAACACGGCTACTGTTGGCATGAATGAACACAATTTTTTGTAATGAGAGAACACAACTGATTGTCTCGAATTGAGAAAACGATTTTCTCGTATCAAGAAATCTTCATTGTGATACAATAACACAATAAAGTTTCTCAAATTGAGAGCACAATTAATTTGAATCAAGAAATCGTAGCTTTAACTTGATACAATGCCGTGTAGATCTTGGAGCAAACGAGGTGCCTTATAGCCAAAAGTTACTTTGGAGCCGAATAAATTCTACATACCACCAATACTATTTTATTCAAATATTTTGACATATTTTATTTTCTTTATATTTATCTCAATCTACCTTATTTTATTTTGTTTCTTTATAATAGTTACCATATATTTATTCATTTTTTGTTTTCTTTCATTTTATTTATTTTTTATAAATTTATTTTTCTTAATTTTACTTCTTCCTTTGAAACTGCATAGAAATTTTCGAGAATATCATTGGTTTCAAACATGGAATTGGCGCTGGGGACGCTTATGAACGCTTAGTTACCCCACCATGTAAAGAGAGCTTCCGGAACTCCACTGCAGCGGCACTTGGGCGATCGCGGGGTTATGTAACATCGGGCGTAGTTAGTACTTAGATGGGAGACCGTTTGGGAACGATCGTGATGCGGATAATTGTATAGAGATTTAATATCGCTCACGTGACGATAGGATGCCTCAGCACCAAATCCATTTAAGTTCCGTATTTAATCCTGTAACTTTTCACCTTTGCTTCAAGCTTTTTTTTTTTCCAATGTAGGTTGTGTTGATTTAACACAACTACTTTCTTTGACTTGACCCAACTCAGAGTGTTAAGTGGTGACAACCTGTCTACTTGATCTGACACAACTATTTTCTTGATTTAACACTACGTTGTGTTCTGTAAAAATGGCCAATCCAACAGTTGTGCCAACCCAACACAACTCTGTGTTGATTTGACACCCCCCTTTTTTCGGTGCATCTTGCAATTTGGAACTATAAATTCTGGCTCTTCTGGGAAAACACTTATGTGCATAGGGAAACTAATAGCACATACGTCGTTTTAGCTAGAATTTACAGTTCCAAATTGCAAAATGTTGTCCAAATTAAAGTAGTCACATAGGCGGGAACTTAGAGAAGCGACAGTTGTTGTGTGTTGGAGAAACATGGAATTGGGAAATCAGGATCTTGTGGTGAGTGGTGAAAAACGGGTAGGGGGAGGTCGTTCGCCTGCATTTCGTCGCTCCCCTGACGCAAGGGCGTACTTCTATTTCCGCATGATCCCCAAGAAAAATGGAGTTTTAATCACAACACGGAATCGAGATACGCCCTTACGTTAGAGGAGCGACGATTTTTCCGGTGGGGATATCGACGGTGAAACTAGCAAACCACGTATCTCGGTTTGCGACGTCGCAGACTTCCTGTCATACTTTATTTTTTAAATGAAAAACTATTTAACGTCCAGTCTTGAAAATTTCTGTGATTTTTCCTCTTCGCGCGGAGAAAATTCCGTGAAAATTTCAAGGAATGATACTGATTTGGTCTACTTAAAAAAAATAAAATGTGAGCGTAGATTTTTAAACACCGCAAACGAGATACGTGGTTTGGTAGCTTCACCGTCGATATGTAAGTTGCACAATCCTAGCAGCGTTGGAATGCTTTTGGTTCCCTTTTGCAAAATGCAATCCATTGGAGATTTGCCAAATTTCCGATATTAAAATGTTTATTTAGGGACGTTATGAATATTTTTTCGAGATTTTCAGGAACTTATGCCGTGCTTATGAACCATTGCTACAGACTATCCAAAAGCGACGAAACGCTCCGTTCCATTTCGTTCAGTCTTGGCGTGAAGTTTGAAATAAATGCCGATTTTCCTATTCGATTCTTATTGGCCCAATCGCTCCCGGCCAGAAGGAGATTGGACAAATGAGAGTCTAGTATGAAAATCTTTTAATTTCCTTTGGTTGTTCTTATGTCGAAGCGGGGCTAAAAGAGCGCGAAGCGTCCTCTGGGGGCTGGGCCGCCTAGCGGCCCGGGGGCATAGCCCCCTAGTGTTTGCATATTGAACCAATCGATATCCATACAAACTCACCTGTTTGGTGTATCGAATACGATCTATTGAGATTTTTAAT